AATGGATTTCTCTGCTGCATTGATTTGCATTTCAGGTGACGGTGGATGACAAACAACGCTGTCATTTCATGCATGTACCTGGTTTATGTTATCTCTGAACCTCCTTCCACCAACCAAAACCATCGTTAAGCATTTAAGGTTTTGCCCTTTGGAAGAAAACAATTATAAACCTTCCTACATGCCTCTGCATACATCATAGCATACATGTCATTTAATACAAACCTTCCCTCTGTTGACATGTACAAAGCTTTACATCAACAGAAAAAGCTATGTTTATTCTACAGGTGCTGGTCATAAAATTAGAATATCATGAAAAAGTAGATTGATTTCAGTAATTCCATTTAAAAAGTGAAACTTGTATATTATATTCATACATTACATACAAACTCATATATTTCAGATGTTTATTTTGTTTAATTTTGATGATTACAAATGACAACAAATGAAAATCTCAAATTCATCATATCAGAAAATTAGAATATTACTGAAGACCAATAAAAACAAAGGATTTATAGAAATGTTGGCCAACTGAAAAGTATGAACATGAAAAGTATGAGCATGTACAGCACTCAGTATTTAGTTGGGCCTCCTTTGGCCTGTATTACTGCAGCAATGCGGCGTGGCATGGAGTCGATCAGTCTGTGGCACTGCTCAGGTGTTATGATAGCCCAGGTTGCTCTAATAGTGGCTTTTAGCTCTTCTGAATTGTTGGGTCTGGTGTATTGCATCTTCTTCTTCACAATACCCCATAGATTTTCTATGGGGTTAAGGTCAGGAGAGTTTGCTGGCCAATTAAGAACAGGGATACCATGGTCCTTCAACCAGGTACTGGTAGCTTTGGCACTGTGTGCAGGTGCCAAGTCCTGTTGGAAAATGAAATCTGCATCTCCAAAAAGTTGGTCAGCTGCAGGAAGCATGAAGTGCTCTAAAACTTCCTGGTATGTGGCTGCGTTGACCCTGGACCTCAGAAAACACAATGGACCAACACCAGCAGATGACATGGCACCCCAAACCATCACTGACTGTGGAAACTTTACACTGGACTTCAAGCAACGTGGATGAAGTGCCTCTCTTCTTTTCCTCCAGACTCTGGGACCTTGATTTCCAAAGGAAATGCAAAATTTACTTTCATCAGAGAACATGACTTTGGACCACTCACCAGCAGTCCAGTCCTGTTTCTCTTTAGACGCTTCTGACGCTGTCTGTGGTTCAAGAGTGGCTTGACACAAGGAATGCGACAGCAGAAACCCATGTCTTTCATACGTCTGTGTGTGGTGGTTCTTGAAGCACTCACTCCAGCTGCAGTCCACTCTTTGTGAATCTCCCCCACATTTTTGAATGGGTTTTGTTTCACAATCCTCTCCAGGGTGCGGTTATCTCTCTTGCTTGTACACTTTTTTCGACCACATCTTTTCCTTCCCTTCGCCTCTCTATTAATGTGCTTGGACACTGAGCTCTGTGAACAGCCAGCCTCTTTAGCGATGACCTTTTGTGTCTTGCCCTCCTTGTGCAAGGTGTCGATGGTCGTCTTTTGGACAACTGTCAAGTCAGCAGTCTTCCCCATGATTGTGTAGCCTATAGAACTAGACTGAAAGACCATTTAAAGGCTTTTGCAGGTGGTTTGAGTTAATTAGCTGATTAGAGTGTGGCACCAGGGGCCATCAATTTTGAACCTTTTCACAATATTCTAATTTTCTGATATGATGAATTTGAGATTTTCATTTGTTGTCATTTGTAATCATCAAAATTAAACAAAATAAACATCTGAAATATATGAGTTTGTATGTAATGTATGAATATAATATACAAGTTTCACTTTTTAAATGGAATTACTGAAATCAATCTACTTTTTCATGATATTCTAATTTTATGACCAGCACCTGTATGTTGATGATGCAGATATTTTGGTGTGAAATGGAGTTCTTCAACATGTATATGTATTTTGCCATTTATTGGACCATTAAAATAAATGTTCTTATATTGTAGGCTTTCAAGATGACATTTTTACTGGAAAAAAAAGTGTAATAATAAACAGTATGAGCCTATATCTATCAGACAAGCAGATCTATCTCAATATATACCTCAACTTGAGGCCAGGTATAAATTCTGAATTACAGAATAAGAAACAATGTTAAAGTTCGCCTCCGACAGCGGTGAACATCCAGGGAACAGACATTGAGCCATCTTCTGTTGGAGGGAAACAAAAGGATCTAAAAGATCCTTTTGTTTCTAAACTAAAAGATTAAAAGGGATGATTAAAAGGGATGCACCCCATGCATGAAGCTGGTGCTGAACTGGAGAGCTCCTTCAGTGACAGACTGTTGCATCATAAATGCACCAGGGAGCGTTATTACTAGGGATGCACGATATTGGGATTGTGGCCGATATCCGATATGCCGATATTTTAAAACTCATGTAGCCGATAACCGATATCGATACCGATGTTAAAGCTGGACAAAAATAAGTAGTCATTGAAAATAGCAGTTTTGTTATCCATTTCTGACACTTTGAAAAATAATATACTCAAATATATTTTCATATGCTGATATCAAATTGATTTTTAAAAACGCGGTATCGATCTATTTTACTTTCAAAATCTCGTGAAATGTCATCGTTCTGTTACAAACTCTCGTGATATTTTGCAAATTCTTGTGAGATTTTGTTAGTAAAATAGATCGATACCGCGTCAATATATCAACATATAAAAATATGGAAACATTTCGTGAATTTCGGGGGATTTCGTAGCATAACGATGACATATAGCAATATTTCATTAGTAAAAGAGATTGATATGGTGTTTTTAAATGGCAATATATCATCATATGAAGATATTGGGATATTTTAATGTATCAATATTTTTTCCCTCGTCTTTAGAAGTTTTTAAGTCTGTAAAAAAGAATTTTTTGAGGAAGAAGAAGTAGAATTTTTATTTTTTTTAGACTTTAGAAACTCAGAAGTTGATCAAATATCGTGTTAAATATCGGTGGGGTGGCCGATGTCCGATATTCAGTTTTAAGGCCGATACCGATAGGGGGCCGATTATATCGTGCATCCCTAGTTATCACAGATTCAATTCAGTTTATTTCTATAGTGCCAATTCACAACATGTCACCATCCAGTCAAATTGATTCAAAGTTTTCTATCTAAGGAAAACCAGTTGATTGCATCGACTCATTGACTCTTCAGCAATCCCTCACACTAAGCATGCTTGTAGCGACAGTAGAGAGGAAAAACTCCCTTTTAACAGGAAGAAACCTCCAGCAGAACCAGGCTCAGTGTGAGCGGCCATCTGCTGAGGCCGACTGGGGTTCAAGGAGACAGAAGAAGAGACACAAAAAGCAGCTGTAAGACTTTATAACCTCCACTGTTCCCAACAACCTCGATAAGTTGTAAATTCACTCAGATTTTGCCTTAGTCAGTTAAATAACATGCTGCTGTCATTTTGCACATCTCTGATGTTGCTGCTATTTTCAAATATCCATTACTGCAAAAATGTCCAAAGCTGTATATTGGTTATTGTGCACAATTTTTATATTGTTAAAACACTTTACAGTAGTTTATTGTTTATCTTTTAACTCCTCACTATTTCGTTATTATTATACATTTTTCTAAGGTCCATATAAACACCAGAATTTATTTAGTCATTTTGTATATACAAGTGTAGACAAAAAGAAATTTCGTTTAGAACAGCTCTAGACAATTTCTTAAAGTGCAGCCTTGATAAAGTAAGCAGCAGTTGTTGTTGAGCTGCTACTACTGCCTCCAGCTCCTGAAGTGCTCGCTTCTCCTGGCTCAGGGGAGGAAGAGGACGATGATCATGATGTTGTAAAGGTGGTAGCCCCCTTGGAACGCAGGATTGATGGAAGCGGGGGTCTGTCTGGATTTTTCTTTAACTTTGCAGTTAGCCCCCCTCTGCAGCTTCGCTTTCTCCATCTTGCACATCTCTTCCTCCGTCCGTTATTTTACGCCGCCGCCTCGCCGACATCCGTCCGCAGCTCCCCAAACGGTCAGTTGTGACCATTGATGCGGGTCCAGTGTCCAGTTTATATCGTTTTAAGAGGTATATTTAGTGAAATTGTCGAGAGGAGCTGGTCTTGAAGTGCCGCCATGGTAACCAAAAAAAAAAAGTCCTGCCCATGGTTTTAAAGCTCTTCCTGTTTGGATCATGTCAACTCATGTCAGTCATGTTTGGAACAATGATGTTTCAGAATGTGAGGGTGGGGAGAAGAGAATCGGACATGTTTAAAATGTTTAGAGAAGGTGTTTGTTTTACTCAATGTGACCTACGGGACGAGGTTTAATGCTATAGGGAGATAGCCTGACGTAGTCCTACTCAATTCTAGTCAGAATATGAGTCTGATGCTGCTCCATAGAGCTGTGATTATGGGGCGTGTTTCGAACAAACCAGGAAAAAAAATGCCTCTGCATTCAATTGGATAGACCTACAACCAATTAGAGCAACGGAGCGCGTGACGTATGTTAAGCGAGGCATAGTTGTTGTCAACAAAAATCAAAGCGTGCAGTTGCACGCCTAGAATAAGAAGATGAGCCTTGATCGCGTTTCTCTGTTCCTCTTTTAAAATTAATTTGCTGTCGATATCTTCTAGAACAGACCTAATAGCAGAATCTACTCACCTCAACTCTCCAGCGGCAGCCATTGTTGTTGTCACCCAAGCGCGCTTTGGTCACATGGTTGATTACGTTGCTGTTGATCATCTGTCCATCATCGTATAAAGCCCGCCCTGACAATTTGATTGGCCCGCCAGATATTGTGCTAGCATACTCGCGCTACTATTGAGCAATGCCAGACCAAACTTCCCGACCTCAAACGTTGTGGGCGGGACTAAGTTCGGAATGGCACCCAGGCTAATAAGGAGATAACATGGAGCTGAAAACAAGCACATCTAATATAGCAACAGGAAACTCTAGATTTAGTTTCAAACATTTGACGGCTACATAGTTTTTATGTCTGAGTTTTTTTGTTGTTTTTGTTTTTGCAGAACAAGTTTTGTTAGATTACAACCCTATATGGAGCTACATTATGGACAAAATACCACAAGGGGAACGCACATGGCTTAAACCAACAACCATGACGGATGTATGAAGCCAAAAGTGGTAGGAAAGGCACATTTTTTTAATATGGTCATTGTCACAAAAAAGTGTAAATTGTAATAATTATTGTGGCCTAGCTTAAATGCTAAGAAAAAAAAAAGATAATATCCATGAAAACTAATTTGTCAGAATGTGAAGAAATTAAAACGTTTATATGTTGCTGACGGTATAGTCTGGGTGGTAAGAGATGTCATTTTGAGGTAAGGGTTAGGTACGTGCAAATGAACGAACATAAACAGGCTTTAAATCAGGGAAGAAATGCAAACCTGTGTGTGTGGCTGTTCGTTTTCCCCAAATAGCATATGGTTCTCTAATGTCCCTTCTGCAACACCTTTCACTGTGGGGTGGAAAAGTAAAACGGAGCAGCTGGATGTTACTGAATCGCCTGGCATTTGTGTGAGGCTGTTAACTCGTTCAGGGGCCCGGGGATGAAACGAGAGGCTCTGCAAAACACTGATTTCATTTTCCTCATGACCGCTTTTCGCTCCACACCCTGCTCCGCCACACGAAAACACACGGACGGATGTCCAAACGCACACACACACTTCTAAATACACAGCATGAGGAGCAGAATCGCTCTGCTTATGCAGGAAGATGAACCTGAGCTCAGGTTGAACAAAGGAAGTAAACCAGCGTCATCTGTCCATATGGAGTGCATTTTATTCCATTATTGTTTCAAGCAAAGAACATCTTTTTTTTCCAAATGGAAATTTGTGGAAAAAAAGTATTTATTATAAAAGGTTTTAGAAGAAATGTTTCCACTTTATTTTATTTTTTTCAAATATTTATTTTGAATTTATGTTGAATTTTTTTCAAAATCCTTTTTTTTTTTTTTTTGCGAAAGTTTTCGTTTTACATCCTCAGAAGTAAAGAGAGTTTGATCTTAAAATTCAATTTGAAACAAACAAACTCAATTATTCTTATAGAAATCTCAGGAGATATTCAAAAGGATGACATTTGAAAAGAATTTCTCCAATTTAATAAAAAATATTTGATTTGAATCAAGAAAACCTGAAGAAAATTTAAATAAATGAAAAAAAGTCTTGTGAAAAAAACTAGAAAACAACAAATATAACGTTTTGTTTTTATTAAGAAGTTTATTTTCTGTGCTTTTTCCTCAATTGTTACAAAAGCTTTTTTTTATTTCAATTTAATAAAACATGTTTTTACTTTGCAACAATAATGTAACAAAGTTCACTCCGTACATTTAATGATTTAGTTAAAGGTTTCAGAATCGCTGTTTTTAAAAGACATCTTTTTCAACTTTTAATTTCCCAATTTGAGAAGAAGGCTGGTAAAGATGGCCGCTGGACATGGCATCTCACAGCTGGCTGGTTCGGCCCCCCCACAGCCCCCCCAATGATCTCCCCTCTTATCTAGCCCAGATCCTGGCCTTTCATCTGGGCTAAAACCTGGGGGAGCTTGGCTTCTGCTGGGGTTTTCGTCTCCGTCCTCGGCGTACACACCAACACGCTTCATTCCAGACCCCCTCCATCCCCCTCGGCTCTATCTGGGAGTCCAAGATGAGCTTTGCTCTCACCTACATGGAAGATAACAAACCCTACATGACTCTCCTCTCTGCTTGGTTTTTTCCCTCAACACACTTCACATCAAAATGTTTTAATCCCCGCTACGACACAAACAAACCAAAAGTAGCCTGAGTTTTCCATTGTTTCTCCCAGGAATGCGTTTCAGTTCATATAAACTCAGATAAATGGTTTTCCTCTGCAGAATGTGGAGCTGTTGCGAAGAGGATAGGCTCGTTCAGCCTGACCGAATTGCATTACCGACCGACAATTGGGTCGTTGTTTTTATCTGATCAGCACATTAGGCCCGGCTCGACCAGGGCTTCATGTGACCCGGGTCCAGGTTGAAGAGTGCACATTGTCTGCGTTGAGCTGTTTACGACCCGCCGTTCTGTTCTGGTCCAGGTGGAGCCCTGGTCTGCCTTCCTTCCAACCCCTCCCCCTAACCTCCTCTCACCTGACGATACGTCTCCCTCTCTCCTTCAGAAGCCAGCTCTTTGCCTCTCCCTGGTTCTGACCTTTGACCTCAGGCGTATCAGAGCAGTTGGCGTTTCGAATCGAGCAGCAGATTGAGTAGCATCTGTGACCTGTCTGTGCAATTCTTTCCCTGTCGCTCCATGTTACATTTTCCCTCTCGAATCACAAACACAGCTGGATTTTTACCCACCTTCCTTAATGGAAGGAAATAACCTTTTTTAGGGAAAAAAAAAAAAGGCCAATTTGTTTAAAATGTTTACGATGAAACAATTGAATTAAGCTCCAGTAAAATTTCCTGTTTCCTTTCTGGCGCAGTTTGCCCTTAATTGGTGTTAAATTGAATTGACTGGACATGATTTTGTGAGCCCACAGATGTGTCTCTGTTGATCCTAGGGGTCAAACGGTGTGGAGGAATGCGCGTTGGCATGGTTACAGGACAGCTCTAAAGCTTAGTGCTGTAAACACACGGCCGGTCAGTTGATTTACCTTTGAGGTCTGGTGGAGAAGACGAGAAGCAGCCAGTCGGCCTGGCTGAGAAGTTGAAGGGATCACTGCTGTGACTGAAACCTTCTCTGCTTCTCATGTCTCTCTTTTTGTATCATTATGAACCGGATCATGTGACCACAACACTTGTATGTTAGTCCTCCTTCCTTTGGCTGACCACAGGATGGAGAAAGTTATTAAAATGGTCATTAGGCTAATGGAAGCACATGAACCCACACCATCAGTCAGTGATCATTATGGTCACATGGTGCCCAGACCGCCTGTTTTTAGACTGTAATGGTGTTCTTTGATTGATCCAAGTAGATGGAGCTTGATGCATTGCGGTCGTCGTCTGAAACAGCCGACTTCCTCAGATGAAAGTACGGTTTCTCTCAGAAATACTTTGTCATGCCGGATCTGAGATGCCTTCTTGCCAATCAGATGGGAATAGTGAAACATCTGAAGACATATCGGATGTTTTGTTCAGAAACGTAAAGGTAAGTATTTGAAGGCAGATCAGTGGTGGTCCGTTCTGCCTCTGAACACTAACGCCTGTTTCAGGCAGGATTGTAAAACTGTATAGTGCTTTTTAACATCTTACAGAACCCGCACAGGATTAGGGCTGAGATTTTTTTTTTAATTATCATTTAATTTTTCTTTCTTTTTTTTATCAATATTGCGATTAAAAAATATATATTTTTTTATGGATTAAACACGTGTCAATGAGAACATATACGTAGGTGTCTGAATTAGGGGCAGATTTACCATTAGGGGATACTAGGCAGCTGCCTAGGGCCCCAAGTTCCTGGGGGCCCCATAAAACTCTGCTTACATGTATGGTTAATACAACTATTCCTTAATTGTGCACATTAATTATGTTTTTTGATTAGAATCCTTTCAGTAAAAAGCCATTAGCGCTTTAGTCGCTATATTTAGCCACTTTTCAGACCCCTCTAGCACTTTGATTTCTAAAAAGCTCCTAGCGCAAAATCTAGAGACTTTTTTCTGCTACTGGAGACTTTGGAGACAACATCTAAAAGCAGCGAACTCTGCTCTCCAGAGCGAGTAGATTGGTAACCCCGCCTCCTGCTCTCCTCTATCTTGTCTGCTGTCATGATTCATGCAGCTATTATTTCATCCAAATGAAAAATGGAGAACAGATAAGCAGATCATGGCTTGTCTACAGTGAAAAGAAGGACTGGGTTATTTACTTTGGCCTTTTTGGAAACACAGGAAGGAGCAATCAGCTAAGTGAGCTTAGTGCTTGGAAAAAATCTTTCATTCCTTTAGAGACAGCATGAAAAGTCAGCTGAGTACAAAACATAGAGAGGAAAACAAGAAGAAAAGGGACAAGAAGAGAGGGACACAACCTAGAACAGATAATGGATGTCTATTCTATTAACATTTCTGTATCTGTAGAATGGGTCTGTGTTGTCTTCTCAATTCAGAGGGCCCCCTGCCTGTCTTTAACTAGAGCCCCACACTTCCTAAATCCGCCCCTGGTCTGAATTAGTAAGTCATTAAACATTAATAAATGTAAAATTTACAAGCATGTATCACAAATCTTCCAGAGCAAATCACATATTTACGATGAAGAATCACAAATTTACAATTGTGAATCAAAATTTGTGAGCAGGATCTACAAACCCTGATGAAGCAATCACTAATTGTTGCTTTTGAATTACAAATTTACGAGCCATGAATTGCCAATTTCCAAGTATCAATCTACAAACCCGGATGAAGCTGTTACACTCCTTACCGGTTGGTGGTAGGAATGCACCATAAGGTTCTTCACTGCTGCAGTTTATGTAACTTCCTACACAGCCAAATTATAGCTGACGTGATGACACATTCTACCTTACCACCATCATATTTAATACCGAATGCTTAGCTTTAGCTCTGTGGTGCTAGGTAGACGGCTACTTGCACTTGGCGTCCAGTCGGCCCTTTTGATTGCCGTCGGCGATCCCTCACCACGTTCATTCCCTTCTGGTAACCAGTAAAAAGAAACATTTAGGTCGCCTTTTTTATTGGCACTCCAGACAGCAGAACTTAAGGATGGCATCTTCGAAGCGCAGGGGACCAGAGCAGGTACTCAATATGGCCGTGGTTAGTTTCAAACGTTTGACGAGTCTGTGAAGTCGGCTGCAAGGCATCTATAAACTCTTTGCCACTTTAGTTAGTAAACTAATATGACTGTAAGTTCCCATAGTAGTTCTTCAGCCAATCAAAAAGTGTTGAGTACGGTGGCCCTGAAGTGCAAACTGCAACTACAAATCTAAAAGCACAACTACATTAAGGAAATCGCTACTACATAAAGCAAAGCGCAACTACATTAAGGAAAACACAATTACATTAACCTACCGGAAAAGGTAGGTACCAGTGGGAAACATGAGACATCGCTGATTGGACAACGGCGCCGTTTGACCCTTGAACCGGAAGTTGCGTCGTCTGAACGGTCCAGCTTCTCTTAAGTGTGTCTTCAGTGTACGCAAACTAACTGAAATTTCGTGATTAGTCTTGAGC